TCAAGCCTTTGCTAGCTTCTAAGTAGTACGTCTGTGTTGGCCTTTTTGTGTCTATCAGTATCCGTTTGTGAATATATAAGTTCATCATCTTATAATTAGATTATTTTTATTCTTTGAGTGACCTTCGATTTCCGGAAGTGGTACTTTACTCTCTCTATATAATCCAAATAACCAGCATCGCAACCTAACAATATAACACTATGGCAACATAGATAGGCTCTGCTTCACCTACTTGGATCAAGTTCACGGAACAGCTCGATGTTTTCATGTTGGAGTCATTGACCACCTCAGCAGACACGCGGATGCCCTCTCCTGGCACGTACAGCTGTTTGTCCACTGTAAAGTCAACATGGATGGGGCCGGACATACAACACAGGCAGCAGACGTTCGTTTCATCAGACATCTGAACAGGTTGCTACATACAGAAAAACAACAACACGAAACATCGTATTTCTATGTTTCAGGAATTGATTATCAGTAGTCTATGAAAGTTCTAAAAATTATAAATAGTATTAAAATAGAGCGCGTGAAAATATAATGCAAAAATATATTTTAAAAAAGGCAACGCCTTGATATTATCGAGCACCAGGGCGTATTTTACAACGCAGTTGACTTTAATTTTACTTAAAAAACGAATATGGAAATAGGCTCATTAAAAATGTGCATATCTCAATAATATAGTTTCTTACAGAAAAAATTCTTTAAAAAATGGGTTAGTAGGCAATAGGACCGATAAAGTTTAGTGCTAAAACAAGACATGGCCAATGTATCGTGTGTTTCCTAATTTCCCCTAATTTCTAGATTTAGAAGAAGATTAAAACACTTATTAATAATAAAAATAATGCTAAAAGACATAGAGCCACCCCTTACCCTGCCTGCCGTCAACTTGTTGAGGTCGAAATGCCGCAGCACACGAAACTCTCGTTTAAAGACAATGTCGGACGACCATGACCTCTGGATTATGCACTTGGCTGTGTAGAAAACACGACCTCCAGGAGTCAGGAAAGAGAAGGATGGGGTGATGAAGGTGGAGGGGAGCCTTTCGTCAAGCTCCACCTGAAACGGGAACTCGTACTTGCCAATCGATAACTGCTTCACCTTGTTTTCTACAAGAAAATAAAAATCAATAATTTTCAGAAACTCTTTTCTGAACTACAACTTAACGATTAATAAATGTTTTCAGAATTTTCGACTTTCGCATTCGCATTCGCATACGCCTACACCCACACCCACAACCCCCCACACCTACACCTACACCTACATCTAATCTACATCTACATCTACACCTACACCTACATCTACATCTACATCTACATCTACATCTACATCTACACCTACACCTACATCTACATCTACATCCACATCCACATCTACATCTACATCTACATCTACATCTACATCTACATCTACATCTACATCTACATCTACATCTACATCTACATCTACATCTACATCTACATCTACATCTACATCTACATCTACATCTACATCTACATCTACATCTACATCTACATCTACATCTACATCTACATCTACATCTACATCTACATCTACATCTACATCTACATCCACATCCACATCCACATCTACATCTACATCTACATCTACACCTACATCTAAACATAGACACATTTAACAGATATGGTAACAAACAAGGCATGCATATAGGATAGGCCTACTGTATACTAATACAAATTTGCCAACACATTATCTACAAAGACGGTTGTTTGTGAGTTTGACAACTTACTGGTCGGTTTTGTATTTAAAGGGGCATTAATTAAGTAACTGATTAAAATAAGAATACTATTGAACAGTATATGTTAGATAATAATTTATGACTTTACGTTACACAACTTTTACCTGCAGCTGATTACAATAACACACGAAAACTTTACCTGGAGCTAGAAGGACGATGACTTTATCCAAGTACCTTTGTTTTGAAAAGTAGATTGTTTTTTGTCTCGTCCACCTTGCTACACTTTTACAAGTGATGTGTATGAAAATACCTGGAACAAAACATACACGCAATGCGAGGGAGAAACATAATATGTTGTTGTTTTCTTGATGTAACTCCTCTTTTAACTGAACATAATAGCCAATATTTATTTACAAAAGCGCGATAGAGTAAGAAGTAAGGTTTATTAATAATTAAATTTCTAAACTAAATTAACTGTTATTCTTTTCAAAGATTTGCGCGCACATCCAACTGAAGAATATTTTTTTTCGAAAAATTATAATTTTCAATTATTTCATGTAAACAATAATAATCCAGTACTTCTCAGCCACGGCTGTTAACACTGGGCGACACAAAACTTCCGAAAATGTAAATCAAGTTACATAACACAAGCAAATATAACACTTTATCTACGTTTATCATTAAATAAATAATTACGTTATTATTGAGTCGTTGATATCCGCCTATAAAATATTTAAATTTTCTTCTCGTCTAATATTTGCAAATAAAAAAATTATACACGGCATATATATATAAAAAACATTTTGATAGGCCTATAAAGTAATAAAATCTTATCCCACTTTTACTTTACGCGTTCGTTTTCTTGACGACAGGTTGAATTTAAAAAAATTCATATAAAAACGTTTTAATAACATGCTTTTACATAATAATGCACTAAAAAGTAGAAAATAAATTATACACTACTATTTGAATAACTATAAAGAAAAGCGTGGGTCTCTACCATACCCTTTGTGTTTATCTTTTCGGCGAGGTCCAGACATACTCGACCTCTCAACACACATCCCGTGGTGTAGACGTCTTGCTCTGGTTCAAAAACGATGGTGTATCGAGGTGGCATCTCTTGTCTCTTCACTAGAGAAGTTATCTTTTTTAATTTTTAAATTAAATAGGTTTCTGCTGCTGTAGGGCAAAAAGCCTACTCCATAACGGTTAATTGGCCGAAATTGTTATAATCACACACAATATATATATATATATATATATATATATATATATATATATATATATATATATATATATATATATATATATATATATATATATATATATATATATATATATATATATATATATATATATATATATATATATATATATATATATATATATATATATATATATATATATATATGTGTGTTATTCCAAAGCTAAAATTGCACAAAAAGCTAAGCTTCCAGGCCTATAGCAAGACGTACATTGTGCTTAGTCCCAGTCAGTTGAAAAGATTTTTGAACATCTGGGCTACGCGGAGTTCTTCCTGGTATTTAGACAAAACATTTTCTGACCAGGAACTGATAAGTAAAGATATCGATACATAAACTGACAATTTTTATTGACAGTGTAAATCATTTCAAGTGGCGTGACCAGTGTCATGTGCAAGAATTCGTCAGGGGGGATGTGGGTGGGGGGTGGGGGGTTATGTTAAATTAATATACCTATCTAAATATAATTCACTTGATTCCTCCATCATGTTTTGATATGTAGGGGTAGAAAATTGCGAATAAAATTCCAACCCCTTCAACCAAACTGATTTGCTTCAAACTACACTCTTACGCGAAGATAAATTGACAATGCAGTGTGTCATAAATATTGACATAATAATATGTGTAATTAATTAAACAAAATTATTAATGTTTACTGCATTAGTTATGCGATTAAAAAATACTTAAGTATAAAAATAAACAAAAACGTTCTTTTATACATGCTCTTAAAAAGCAAAGATGAAATTAATACTTATCTTATAGAAGTAGTCTAAATTCTTTCATAAAAACCAATATTCTTCGAATAGATAAAAAAATAATATATACTAAAGCAACTTTCTATCATAACACATTTGACGAATCAGCCCCTTCTTACTTCTCAGACACATTATCTTTCAACACAAAATTAAATCGTCGTCTTAATCTACCAACCCCATATACAACCCCCCCCTCCCACCAAAGACACAGCTTCGTCTACACCAGGGGTCGGCAACCTGCGGCTCGCGAGCCGCATGCGGCTCTTTTGATATCAAGATGCGGCTCTCCAGCTCCTTGAACAAATACTAATAATCTTAATAAAAAATAAAATATTTGAAATAAAAAAAAAATGTTAGTGGCTCTTTAAAACCAGGGAAATTCTGAAAATTGTAACTTTTGGCTCTTCCGCTTCAAAAGGTTGCCGACCCCTGGCTACACTGTTGCAAATATGTGAAAAAACTTCCTTATAGAATACAACTGTAATTGAAAAAAATATTTAAGATGGGTGACGTTGGAGAGGGTGGGGAAGTATGATGTGGATGATGTATGATGTCGCTTATGATGTGGATGATCCCAGTGTAGGTATAAATCCTACACATTGCGATGGGTTTTTTAAAACACCAGCACTGACGTCTTTATTTCAATTTTACACGCTGGATACGAGTTGTTTTAAAACGTAAGCACTGCGATATTAAATTCAACATGTGGACTTCTACATGGCATGCATGGACCCAAAAATCCCCCAGCAGCCCACAAAAGTCGATTTTTCTCGGATCCCCCCCCCCTCTCCTCCGTGGACGTCATAAATGGAGGACCTCTTATCCCCGCTCACAACTAACCCACTGTCACTATATACCATTGGCTTCCCCTGTTACACTCGTTCATCCATATAACATCAACATACACAGACGTCGCCCGGTCTCGCTAATACAAAATATCTACATTACTTGGGGGTCGTCCATAAATGACGTCACACGTCTAGGGGGGGGGGGGTCAGACTTTTGTGACGAGAAGGGTTAGGTACAGTGTGACGTCACGTTGTCTTAATCCTACGAATTGATTAAAATGCATTTTTTTAGTTTTTAGAAAAATAAACCTACTAAATATTTTTTTTTACATTGGATGTGATACTTCTAACAAAATGTATACTTTTGTGTAAGATGTCAAAAGATTGTGAAATATATCGTTGTTCTAATTAAATTGCCCTATAATTTGACGATGTATGTTGTGTAGTAGACTGTCGTATTTACGACTTTGTCAATAGTGCTATTTGACTAAAGGTCGGATGCATGTCAAGTAGAGGGTAAGGCAGGGGTATTAGTGTAATGCTTGCTAGTCTCTGGAGTTTACAGAGTAAAACGATTGCCATGCAAATCACATTGATTCCAGGCATCTCTTCTCCCGAAGAAAGTCTACTCCCCCCCCCCGAACGAAATGGAGTTTATATAGAAAATATATACTTTTAACAGTGTCCGCGCCCCCCCCCCCCCCGATTTTTTTTTGAAAGAAACACTGTTTACAATAAGTCACCTCAGAGACTTAGCGACCCTTCCCGGCGCCCGGGGACAAACTTTCGATTTGCACCCCCCCCCCTCAAACTTTCGATTAGCATCCCCCCTCAAACTTTCGATTACTTTTTTCAATTAATTTTGGCGCCCCCTCAGGTCGGCGCCCTGGGACATATGTCCCCCCCCCCCTCCCCCCCCCCCATCGCTACGCCTCTGAGTCACCTAGAATAGTTATCTTCCATGCTTGGACCGAATGAGTATGCGTTATAAGCCTAAATCAAGACGACAAAACCCGCGCCGCGTTCCGCTATTTGACAGCAGCTAAATTGTTCATACACATGGAATACAGGGTGAGCTTGCTTGACCATGACTGGGTTGTGGCTGCTGGACATAAGCTGATCCCTTCAGTTTATGCCGGGATAAAAATTCAGCCCAACGCCTTGGGAAATTGAGAAGTTGTTGGATACTCATGACATATTAATCAGATCTGGTAAACATTCCTCATCTACAGCACTTAGTCATGGACTTGATTTTTGAAAAATTACTTACTTTACAAGTTAAACAAGTGAACTCTACTTCACTTGACCCCTAGACCGTCATGTTTGAAAGGGGATTTTACTTACTTTTACTTGCTTTATATGAATTTGATGGGGACGGCGTGGTCGAGTCGGTAAAGGGGTTGCTAAGGGGTCATCCATAAATGACGTCACACTCGTAGGGGGGAGGGGGGTCCGTAATGGAGGGGGTGGGGGTCAGATGTTGCGACGTCACACTTTTGCATTATAAAAAAGCAATGCTAGAAAATGAATTTTAGACGTTATTTCGCGTTTTAGATAACTGTTTTAATAAATTGCAATAGTTTAGACAAGATTTTAGAAAAATATCGATGTTTTAAAAAAATTCAACTGCAATTTCGAGGGGGGTTGTAGGTTGAGGTGTGACGTCATTTTAGGGGGGGGGGTCTGGCTTTTTGTGACGACGTGTGACGGAGGGGAGGAGGGAAGTAAAAATCGTCAAAAAAGCGTGACGTCATTTATGGATGACCCCTAAACCGAAAAGTCTCGAGTTCGAACGAACCCTCGGGTAGATGAGGCTCGTTACCTAGGGACAGCCCTCTATGAGATACAACTCCAAAATCAAACAACTGCTGCCTTGTAGTTTGTTTTTGGTTGGATTAAAAAAAAAGCAGGCTGAAATCAGAATCAAGGCCTCAAGGTGCATAAGCAGTTGACACGTATACTTAATTGTGTCGGAAGGGATTCCTTCCAACACTAAAATTAAGAACGAAGAAGAAGAAATGAATTTGATAACATCACAAACAGTGTTGTTGATCGAATTGTTAAACCCTTTGATGTAAAGGGAATTCCCATTCCATACGAAAAAAAATCAATTCCGGCCCTGTGTAATCATTGAGGGAACATTTTAATTCTCAATGCGCGAACGAATAAACTTAAATATCACAACTTTTTATTGAGGATTGTCACCATATTAATACTGTTGTAAGAAGTCTTTTAAAAAAATATTTCGGTTAATGATAATGCTAAAATTTAGAAATATTTATGTATAGGGCCTATAGATATGGTCGGTTAAGTTAATTATGTTTTAAATCGTTTGTTTATTCAAAATTTTCATAATTTTGTTATATTGATAAACAAAGTAACCTTTGTATATTTTTAAACTTCTGTTATTAATAAAACGTCTATTAAAGTTGCTAAATTTAAGTTAGTGTGAGTATTTCTTGTCATTTGTCAACACTCTCTTCGCTAATAATAAAACGCGGAATTTAATACTCTTGTTTAGAGTCTTTACTATTAAAAATCTATGACATTTATATTACTATGTGAGAAATGACATCCATTAAGTCCATCATTTAGTAGGCTACAGTAACTATCCCAGGGAAATTAAACTTAAAGGTCTGGGCATAGTGCTAACAGTTAAATAATTCGCATACTATACTCAATATATTGTTATTCTCACTTGAGTCGTCATGTCTGCAAGAAATACCTACATTTACATTAAGTATTTTAAAATAATTTAACCTTTCAATTCAGATATGCGCGCTCATTATTAGTAACTCTGTGTCTACGAGCGGCAATTTTAAAGCGAAATTTAAAACATAGGATAAGTTGTAAATCCGAGGGTGAGGGAGTGTGACGTCATTTTAGGGGGGAGGAGGGGGTCGTGACGATGTGTTACCTTGGGGGAGGGGGTTAAAATGGCAAAAAAAAAACGTGACGTCATGTATGGACTACTCCTTGGTAGTCTACGCTGTAGTGTCATATAATTACAATCCATATCTACCAAACCGGTTTGACGAGTTGGAAAAAAATATATATATATATAGGCCTAGGCCCTATTGATATTGTTATTTTGGAACATACTGGGTGTGTGCTCTGCTCAGATAACACAGGCTTGATATTTTTGTGCTATTTCTTAACTAAATATCAACATTAAGCTAATATTTCAACAGTAAATTCGAAACTTCAAACTGTGTGGTTAAATAAAAACTGTAAAATACTGTGTAGTGGTGTGTAGGCCTAGATCTACATCGTGTCTATATTTTAATAGTATGCTCGTGTGTGAATTGCTACAGGCTACAGGATTCAAGTTCTGTACAAAAACATACTACACAGTCCTACATCATAAACTGTTAGACCGTGATACATAATTATATTCTATAATAATCTATGCCTACAACGAGTATAATCTTAATCTAATAATCTGCGAAAAGACAAAATTGTGACTTCTAGCCCCACCCTTTACTGAATGCAAGTTTCTAATTTATTGGATTTGAGTTGAAGGTAATTTTTATGATAAATCTGTGCCAAATCTAGATCTATCTTAAAATAATTTTGGATTGAAATTCAGAATCTACTGAGTTTTAAGATTGTTGTATTGTGTTTTAAAGAACTTGAAAACTTAACAAAAGGGTTAAAGTAAATATAGTTCTAGAAGGATTGACACAGTGCCTCTCCTTATCTGTAGCGACCACGTATAAGATAGTGAAATAAAAGATATATGCATGGAGGTATAGATCAATGGAAAGGTTATTAAAAACTGGTTGAGCTTTAACCATTACTTAAGGACAAAGTTTCTTCCAGGCATCTCTTCGGGTGGGCTAACCCCCCCCCCCCCCCGAAAAATTTTTACCGCCCCCCCCCCTCAACGAAATGAAATTTATATAATTTATGTAGAAAATATATACCTTTTAACAGTGTCCGCCCCCCCTCCCCCCAAGAAAGTCTACCGCCCCCCCCCGAAAATTTCAAGTGCCCCCCCCTCCCCCGGAGAAAAAAGTCTGGAAGAAACACTGCTTAAGGAGTAGGTCCATAATGTAATAATGTGTTGTTAATTTGTTACATTCTTCAGATGTGAATGTACCCTAAATCAAAACTAATTTAATTATGGCCAGATAACTAGTAACATCTTTTCTGAAACTTTACACAATATAAGAGACCAAATTTTAAAAGAAAGTTTTGTTTACAAAAGCATTGTCTAAAATATTGTGGAAATTTTTAAAAATACAATTACACAACATAAGCCTACACAAAAAAATAAAACAATAATATTTTTTTTTACACATTTCAGAGATACAAATTGACCAATGTACAAAGTTGTCATTGTGTTGGGTGTTATTACTGTTTTCATTAAAATTCTAGTAAACACTACTAATGCAGATTCAGAATTTATAGAAATGCTTGATGAAAAAAATTGTATGAGAAAGGCTAACAATGGTGAGACAGTAAGATGTAAAGTCAATGAAACATGGCTGGCGTTCCTAATGTGCAGTGACCACACTTATTTTACTGGATATTTCAAGATACAAGATAGATCTGCCTTTTGCTTGTAAGTAGATTTAATCAGAAGAAAAAACACCAAATTTAAACCAAATTATTTATTTGTCTTTACTTTGGAGATGTGGACAAAAGTTAAACAATCAAAAGGCCTAAATCCAAAAGGCTGGCATTATAAATAAAATTGGATACTTTATAATGTAGTCCCAGTTTATTTCAATCTGATGGGTACCTGACTCATTTTAGGGAGAGTAAATACTGACAGCAGAAACATATGATCACTAATTTCATCTATCGTACAGACTGTCTAGTCAAAACAGTACGTTAGTATTAAATGTAAATCGTTAGTTAAAGTAATACAACAGTAAAACAAATTAATAAAAATTGAAGCAGTCTTTGTTTTGTTTAGTATTTATTATAACCTTTTCAGAGGGGTAGCGACCCTTCCCGACGCCCGGGGACAAACTTTTCGATTTGCACCCCCCTCAAACTTTCTATTTGCACCCCCCCCTCAAACTTTCAATTTATTTTTCCAACCCATTTTGGCGCCCCCTAAGCTCGGCGCCCAGGGACATATGTCTCCCCCCCGCCCCCCCCCCCTCGCTACGCTACTGAACCTTTTACATATACAAAAATATGCTCTCAATAACACTTTAGTATCTTTTTATTTGTTTATATAATGCTTGTCTCTCATTTTTTGCCGAATAGGGCCTATCCCATTACAGTAGTAACATTTAAACAAGATGGATTTTTGTCTGGCTTTAGTCCATGCTGATCTTTTTGATAACTTTTTCAAAGTTTATTAAATGGACAAATGTCTCCTTTGGTGTTCATTCAACATATTCATAATAATTGTTGAAATAATATTAGTTCTGTTGTAATTTTACTGTTTCATCTACAGTAGTTGACATGTGCTAGGATCTAGGACATCCCTCACCAACATTACCCCCAAGAGTCATTACTCTCCTGTCATCCCGCCCCCCCTCCCAGTAAAAAATCCTGACACTAACCACAACCCCAATCCTAACTTTAAGCCTATATCTAACCCTAACCCTATACCTAATCCTAACCTTAAGCAAAAGCCTAACAGTAACCTAACCCTAACTTATCCTTAAGCTTTCTGTATCACAGCTATCTCTAAATGACCAAGGGGGTAATGTTTTACTTGGCTGTGGGTAATTGGCAGGGGTATAATTGATGGAGGGGGGGGGGTAATGTCCTGCTCCCATCCAAAAAGTGACACCCTGTTAATTACACTCTGACCATCCTCTCTCACCCTGGTACTTCTTTAATTTCTTGTCAAAAACTGGACAACAACACTATCCTGGTACATCCTGTGGTATACACTTCATGCAGAAATGTATTCTACACAGTTATATAACATGCACTTTGCCTATAATTTATTAAAATCATTATTTTACAATGTGAAATGTTCCTTTGTATTCTATTATGTAAAAAATATTTCTGGGCATTCTGAAAAGGGTGAAATTATCCATATGTACGGGAAGTGGGGGTTGGATTTTGCAGAGGAGTAAAGTCCTATTCCCTTAAAAGCACAATCAATACAAATGACTATTTTTACACAGAAAAACAAGCATACATGTATACATTTTTTTCAGGCCTTGCCATGAAGTTTTCCAAAATCTAGAACAAAGTCACCTAAGAAAAGAATGTAAGCCTATGTAAGTACATACTTTAAGGGGTAACTTTAGTAATAACTAGACTAACTGTTATTCTTAAATAACTGTGGTTTTGGTTTTCTGAACTTTTATAATAAGGGGGTGTTTCTACCAATGAATATATCAATAAATTAATTATTGTCTTGAAATAAATGTGTGTATAACATTTGGGGAAAAAAGAACAATTCTCTACATAAATAAGTATTTTACAGGTCTGGACATAGTGTAGAAGTTCTCATCTAACAGAACAGACAAACAAACAAAAAAATACAAACTTTTTACTTTTAGTAGTATATTGATATATAGATATACATTAACTTCTTTTTAGTTATTTTTTTAAAAAGCTTGCTATTATAGAGGTTTTCATATTTGGTTTGCTTCCTCTAAATTGATTGTGTCAAAACATTACAATTAAAAAGTAAACTAAAATATACATTCAATAACTAAACACCAATTTTAATAAGTAAGTTAACTTACTGTTAGAGAATTGAATCATAACATATTGATAAATTATTTGATTTATTCATTTACTGATACATTCTGTAATTTAGCAATTTAATCGCTTTTTTTACTCTTACTCTTACATTTTTATATTTATTTTAAATTTAAATTTTTATCTTTAAAAATGTATATTTGTATAAAAATGCTAAATTTTTGTCTATAAATTACATATTTGGCATACCTTACAGTGAAGGTTACCATAATACTAAACCAATTTCATTTCCTTATTTTTAGTTATTTTATTTAAAAGCTTGCTATTATAAAGGTTTTTATATTTAGTTTGTTTCCTCTAAATTGATTATGTCAAAACATTTAAAATTATATATTTGGCTTAGTTTTGTCTTAATTTAAAACACTACAAATTATGATTGATTGTAAGTAGCATTTAGTATATTTGTGACATTTTCTTATTTCAGATCACCTGATGACACATCTAGTCATTCTAGTGCAGTACAAAATGGACCATTCATATGCCTTGGACTTTCAATACTCATCACTATTCATTTTTTAATCTAAACCTTTTTTTTACTTGAATATGTCTTTCATCTTAATTATTTTTACTCACTCCTGGATATTTTATAGTAACTTATTACAAAATCAGTATTTTTTACAAAATGTGTATAAATCATCTTTTAATTAAACAGTCAATAATACATTTGGAAAACATCAATTATAAAAAAAATATAATTTTTATTATTGCTGTTAAGTATTTATAGATTTATTTTTATAATATTTAATAGAAATGAAATTCTGCCCCAGCATTATTGAAATTTAAAAAAATTGCTTATTAAATTTTTAACAGACTATTTTTTTTACCAATAAATTTATCTTCATGTTTGGCAGTTTTGTCTTGTTTCTTTTTTTATTTATGATCCTTATTTTAGAAATTTTATATTTGAAAAAAAAAATCAGTTTAAATATTACTGTAATCTTATATTTGGGTGTTGCTGCAGAACCAATTATATATTTTACTATACAAAACAATAGCTCAGCAGTTTTTAGATTTAGCTTACTTAACATCTTATGAGCATGTCAAACAAGCTTAGAATTATAAATAAACTTAATTAAAAATGCTTGATACCTCCTGGAAGGGATAAAATAACATATACATTTAGTAAAGTAAATATTTAGTGCATACTTTAATTATAGGCCTATATTAATTAGTTTTCTTTTTAAAAATACACAATAGCCTACTGCATGCATTACTCAAATGTAACATTTTTAATATTAGACCTTTTTTTTTATTTGTTGAGGATATTATAACTGCATGATAAATATGAGTAATGTAAAACTGACTTTAAAAAATTACATTTTAATATGCTAAAGTGATGGTACACTTTCTAAACCTCAATCCCTCATTAGATATCTATCATATGCTCTGTGGTGGACTTATTCAAAGACCAGTGCATAAGCTAGATTTAGAAATATTTGCTGAAAACCAAGTATAGGATTTGACATACAGTTGAGCATTTAACAGCCTATATATGTATGTATATACTATATACTATATATATATATATATATATATATATATATATATATATATATATAAATATATATATATATATATATATAATATATAAAGCTCAGTTCTGTATGTAATGCATTTGTATGTCGTTGGAATTGTACGAATTTAAGTGTTAGAAAATTATCGTGCGCATTTGTCTAAATTTATGAGCTAAAAAATTACCATTGAAAGTGTTGGGAAATAATTTTCATTTTTCAAATTATAGTAATAATTGTCGGCATGTTCATTCAACACAAGTTTTAAAAAAAATATCATCTTTTACAAAAATTCTAATTATGTCTTTATTTAGTCCTATAGCACTTACTTCCCTTTGATAAATTAGGAAAAACACAATTACTTCCCTTTATAAAACCATTGCATTCCGTGAAAATAATTTACTTTTTAATTACTTTGTTTTGGTGTTGGGAAAAAAAATAATTACATAATTAGCGGGGATTGATCAAGTGCAAATGTTGTAGGTATTTTACGGATAAGCTTGGAGTATTAAAATTGTTTATTAAATTGAAACAGGCGCGTTCGTTTAAGTGAGTGCAAAAGACTGTGAATAAGTTGGGGTACTATAGTCGTTCATTAAGCTAAAACAGGTGATTCCGCCCCGGGCGTTTATGTTCGCGTTAGTGTTTTCTTTGTGTTTAGGTGGGTTTGCGTTAGTGGTTGCGTTTTGATTTGGTTCGTTTTTGTTCTTTCTTTTTTCGTTTTTGTTTGTGTTTTTTTTTTGGGTTTGTATTTGTGTTTTTGGTTGGTTTTGCGTTTGGATTTGGTTTGTTTTCGTTTGCTTTTTCGTTGTTTTTTTGTGTGTTGGTATTGGTGTTTGTGGTTGGGTTTGTTGTTTTCGTTTGCTTTTTTGTTTGTTTTTTCTTTGTGTTTGTATTGGTGGTTGTGGTTGGGTTTGTTGTTAGGTTTTTGTTTTCGTTTGCTTTTTTGTTTGTTTTTTCTTTGTGTTTGTATTGGTGTTTGTGGGTGTGGTTGTGTTTGTTGTTAAGTTTTTGTTTTCGTTTGTATTTGTAATTGTGTTAGCGTTATGTTTGCGTTTTGTTGTTTTGGTTTTGGTTGGTTGTGGTTTGGGTGGGCAATGCCGGGTTTATGATGATTACTAAACACACAGGTAATGGTCTTTAACAGAAAGGTTTTTCACAGAAGCCAGAGCAGGGCCTGGCCGGGACGGCTAGTAAATATATATATATATTACATTAGTGTGCTCATCCCATATGGTTTCAGAAGAAAGCCTGATGTAATATTTTAAAAGGGTTTCATCAAAGTGGTACCACCCTATATTCTTAGACGCGTGACCTTGTTTTGTACAACAGAGTTATCTAAACAATGCCTGCACTATATTTCTTGGACCATATTCGTTGAGGTATGGGTTTGCCTACTCTACCGCCCAGCATGCATCAGGGCATGCTGTATGCCTTGCATGTGTTTTAATCACTCTCCTTAATGGTGAGGTAGAAAACACTTCAGCGACCGCCCAGTGTCCGGCCGCTAGCTTAGTTTAATCATCAAATGCTGTGTGTCACCATGACAATATTTTATGGTGCTCTTTAAAACAAACAAACTTTTAAACAAATTTAAGCATCATAGTGCTCAAAATAATACCCCATCTCATCCTGTCTATTGCACTGTTTAAAACAAACATAGACTCCACCTCGCTCACGGGGGGAGCCAAACTGTACCCTGTCTGTGCGCCCACCTTGCAAAATTCAAACTAACCAACATTCTCACAAAGTACATCTAACTAGTTAAAACTAGCAACTATATGCAATCACTAACCTTGTAGTTGCATACACTCAGTTATCCACACACATACACACATCAACATAGTCTAGTTTAGAGCTTTTAAGTTGTTTAAGTTGTGGTGTGTCTAGTCTAGCATTGGTCTTCTATTATATCACAGTCTTTAGAACTTCTACACTACACCCATTTTCATCTATTGACTGACAAACTGTCTCTCCAACTTCAATTTAATGGTCCAATAAAATAAAATTTACTAATGTCTATTGAGAAAATTATTCACCTAATACCATCTCAGATTAATCCAGAAAAAGGTACAAATCATGGTATGTGTCTTACCACTGGCATTTTTCATTAGTAGATACATTTTCAAGGCGGCGGACTAAATTTTCCCAGGGGAGGGGGACTGGATAATATAAATATTTTCTATATAAATTCTAGTTCGTTCAAGTCAACCATTTAAATTACTGCTAACCCGGAAGTCTCGAGTTGGAATCCGGGTTCAAGCCAGTAGAAGGTCCCTAAGTCCACTCACGTTAGAGAAAGTAAAGGCGGCTGGGCATAGTGCTGACCACACAATTCCTTCATATGCCGAGGTTACAGAAACAGGTGAACTCTACTTCATTTGCCCCATGAACGGTCATGTTGAAAAATGGAACATAGTACCTTTACTTATTGTTATCTTAAACTTAAAAATGCAAAACTTTTAAAATAGCTATAAATAATATCTTGGGTCTCTCATAAAAGTTTTAGAAAGGGTATTTAATAGCACATTTATGACAATACCTTCCCCTTTTATCAGTGCTTGAGTAGACTATTGGTTTAGTTACTTATAGACTATATTACTCTGTATATTCTACTTGTAATGATAATCATAGACAAAAACAGTTTAGAGCATTCCAAGTGTAACAATCTTGCTGCTGGGCTGTTTTTTATCGATATACACAAATGTTGAGTGCTTTTTTCCCTTGATCCAACATGTTCTCTTGTGTTCCAACGTAATGAGTTGTTTTTCACTAATCCACAACGACATCTTTGAAAGTATGATAAAAATTGAGGGTCACGTTGCCATTTCTGTATTTTCAAATTTTAGATGTTAAGTTGTTGATACTTAAAGTAGTTCTATAATTGTTTATACTATGTAGCATATCTTCCGTAAACTTTTAATACCTGATTTAAAAAATAAATAAATCAGAAATTGAGTTTATAGCGAATTGTATACATTTTGACACAATAGTTTATTTGTCACCTGATGTAATCGATATAGAAAATTAAAAATCCCTTTTCATTGTTTCTTTAATTCAATGTAGAAAAAAAATCAAACACGTCTGTAACGAATCTCACCAATACATGTTGTTTTTAAATCTCTGCACTCTTGTTTCGACACTACACTCTAATCCCGGGGTCGGGAGAGGGGGTGATGATGAGAGTAATAGTGTTTAAGCTTTATATCTTGCTTTTGATAGATAATTTGATGCCCATCCCCCTCAGCACACCATTTTATCGATACTGGGACCTATACACAAAGTATGATGCAGTTTGAGATGTAAAGTGAAAGACAAATTATGTAAAATGTTCTTTTATTATGTACGAAAAGAGTAAATATTTATGATTAAGACATAAACAACATAAAATATTCACACATTTTATATTCACACTAACACAATGGTATGCCCATGTTGACCACTACCTAAAGATATAAATCATGCGACACAAACAAGCATGAACAAGCCATGAAGCGGTTGCTGGAGAACACACAAGGGAAAAAACTAGTTGGATATAGGAGTGATTATCCCTGATGTGTGTGTAAAAAAAACCTCAGTTGATCTGTTCTCCAAACAACGAATTACTGCATTGAACTATGTGCAATGGCTGAGGTTCTGGAAGAGATCCATTCATCTGTACTGTCTGGCGTCTTACTGTACAGTGCCAGCCAAGGGTATTGACCCGATCACAACTCCAACTGCCGGCTTCAACATCGTGGTCGGTCCTGCGATCTTCACGTGCAGCTAGGGGTTAAAACAGGGTTTTAATTAGTTTAGTGCCAGTAAGCTTTCAGTAAATGCAATAGTAATGCTAAAAAAAAACAAATTCGTTTTTGTATTGTTTGAATAAATTCTTGCCTAAATCTTCTTATATATAAATATGGATATACGTTTCTTTCATGCACCTGTCATAGGCCCATTTATGTGTAAATATATGTTTACTTTTATAAAACACATACACACAACATACACTCCGATATATATATATATATATATATATATATATATATGTGTGTGTGTGTGTGTGTGTGTGTGTGTTTATGTTTGCGACAAGTACCTCTACTATGTAATTCAGATCAATGACAGAGCACCCTTGAAGGTACGATGGAAAGAGTTGCGGAACTTTGATCAGTACATTAGACCAGCTGTCTCTCTTGCGAGCCATGATGCCAGGTTTCTCTATGGACGCCACGATTTCCACGATAGTCGCGGTGGCATTGTGCTTGCCGTGGAAGGTTGTTATCTGAACATTTTTTATATTATGTATAGATAAATTAACAAATTACATAAAAAAATCAACACGCATACAAACATTCATATATATGCCCAAATAAACGCACTTTGTTGTAAGTTGTAAAAAGTTAAATTCCCCTTTCAAACTTTACGGTCTACGGGGCAAGTGAAGTAGAGTTCACTTGTTTCTGTGACCTCGGCATTTTAAGGTATAGTATGGTCAGCACTATGCCCAGCAGACTCTACTTGCTGGGTGAATTCAGGGACGGTCTACTGACATGAACCCGGATTCGAACTCGAGACTTATGGGTTAGCAGTCCAGCTCTCTACCGCTGTGCCACTCCGTCCCAGGTTGCTTTTAATCAATATTATCTTTGCTAACTCGAAAGTCTCGAGTTCGATTCCTGGTTGAAGTCACTAGAATGTCCCTGCGTCCACTCAGCTCTGATGAATACCTAGCTCAGGTTAGGGAAATAAAAGGTTGCTTGGCATAGTTCTAGCCACACCATCCCTTTATATGCCGAGAACAAGAAATCAATTTCTTCTTGCCATGGGATTGCTAAGTCTAAAAAAGAATCGTTACTGGTTTTTTTAATTGTTGGTAAAGTACTTTGTAAATGTTATCACGAATTATTAACCACTTATATTTTACATATTTGCCGCCACCTTTTAGCAAAACAAAAATGGACTGTTTGAGATGCTTTGTTATAATTGAAAATCAAAAAGAAAAACTAAATTTTAGTTATGAGAAGACAAAGCAGGAAAAAAAAGCAGATATACATTTATTTTTCGAACAATGGTGGTTCGTTAAAAAAATATTTAGGAAAGTTAGTTAGTAGACACAATTAAATTTAAACTAACATTAGCTACTAAACATAATAAGTCTTTACTATCTTTCATGTACCACATTATTAAAACTTAGATAAACTCTGCTGCACCTACTTTTATCAGGTTAAAGGAACATTTTTTGATTTTCCTGTTGGAGCCATTGACCACCTCAGCAGACAAGCGGATGTCCTCACCTGGCACGTACAGCTGTTTGTCCACTGTAAAGTCAACATGGATGGGGCCGGACATACAACACAGGCAGCAGACGTTTTTTTCATGCGACACTTGGACAGGTTGCTAAAATAATGAATTGATTTTTAAAAATTATTCGTTGGACATCCTCGCTAAATAATGACATAATTTTATTTATTTATTTTTTGTTGGTCCTCCTTGGTAAATAATGACATGGTTATTTTACCATTATTAAAAATCTTTCAGACTATGAAATTCGTAGTTCTTTAGTTCTTTGAAAATTATTGCAGGGAAAATGTTGCTGAATTACAACTTTGCGCAAAGAATATAATCTTTATCGTGTAAAAATAATTTGGGGAAATTGTTTGTATATGTTTAACCTGTTTAGAATTAAAACGAATATTTTGAAGGTAGTTATTAAAATAGAAGTAACCACCCCTCACCCTGCCTCCAGTCAACTTGTTGAGGTCTAAATGCCGAAACACGCGAAACTCTCGTTTAAACACGATATTTGACGACCATGACCTGACGACCGTGCACGTGGCGGAGTAGAAAACACGGCCATCTTTGTTGGCGTGGGCAGACAGGAGGGAGAAGGATGGGATGCTGAAGGTGGAGGGGAGGTCATCCTCTAGTTCCACCTGAAATGGGAACTCGTGCTTGCCAATGGATAGCTCCTTCACGTCGTTTTCTAAACCAGCAGACACAACGGTGGGGAAAATAGAAACAACATATTACAGTCACAGCATTTCTTTTTGAACTACACAGAAACTATGACAAGATATTTAATAGTGAAAAGTGGTTTAGAAATTTTAAATAAAAAATAAACAGACACACTGACAGATATACATAATCGGATACACACAGACACACACATCATATAAATAAATATAATTAAAACTTTATTATACACACTTATAACCTTATATATAATATATTGACACACACACACTCATATATATATATATATATATATATATATATATATATATATATATATATATATATATATATATATATATATATATATATATATATATAAAGCAATGTATGTGTCTGTGTGTGTGTGTCCTTTATGCATTACTACACCTCTCATCACATCGCCGTGAAACTTTGGGAAGTTGAGAATATTCCTGGGGAGGTTTCTGCGAAAAAAAAAATTCAAATTCGCAGGGGTGGCGCCCCGGTAGGGCGCGATTTGTTTTTCTCTATATACCGTATATAAAAATAATAAAAGTGAATTGCAGTGACACTGTTCACACGATCGCCATGAAACTTTAGGAAGTTGTTGAGAATATTCCTGGGGAGGTTTCTGAGAAAAAAAAATTAAATTCGCAGGGGTGGCGCCCCGATAGGGCGCGATTTGTTTTTTTCTATTTACGGTATATAAAACTAAAAGTCGATTTTGGTTTGGCATCGTTCATCCAATAGCCATGAGACTTTGGGGAGTTCATTATACCACTCTAGGGAAGGGTTCTGTGAAAAAATAATTTTTAATTTCGCAAGGGCGGCGCCACGGGAGGGTCCGATTTTTCTCTATATACGGTATATAAAAATAATAACAGTGAATTGCAGTGACACCGTTCATCCGATAGGCATGAAACTTTGGGGAGTTGATTAGAACACTCTAGGGAAGGGTTCTGTACAAAAATCATTTTTAATTCCGCAAGGGCGGCGCCACGGGAGGGTGCGATTTTTCTCTATATACGGTATATAAAATTAATAAAAGTGAATTGCCGTGACACCGTTCACACGAGGAAACTTTAGGTAGTTGTTGAGAATATTCCTGGGGAGGTTTCTGCGAAAAAAATAATATTTCAAATTCGCAGGGGTGGCGCCCCGACACGGCGTGATTTGTTTTTTCTATATACGGTATATAAAAATAAAAGTCGATTTTGGTTTGGCATCGCTCATCCGATAGCCATGAGACTTTGGGGAGTTCAATATACCACTCTAGGGAAGGGTTCTGTAAAAAAATAATTTTTAATTTCGCAAGGGCGGCGCCACGGGAGGGTCCAATTGTTCTCTATTTACGGTATATAAAAATAATAAAAGTGACACCGTTTATCCGATAGGCATGAAACTTTGTGGAGTTCATTATAAAACTCTATAAAACTCTAGGGAAGGGTTCTGTAAAAAATCATTTTTAATTTCGCTAGGGCGGCGCCACGGGAGGGTGCGATTTTTCTCTATATACGGTTTATAAAAATAAGTCGATTTTGGTGTGACACCGTTATCCGATAGCCATGAGACTTTGGGGGAGTTAATTAGAAAAATTCAGGGAAAGTTTCTGTAAAAAAAATCCTTTTTTAATTTCGCAAGGGCGGCGCCACGGGCGGTTGCGGTTTTTCTCTATATACGGTTTATAAAATTTCGGTTTCACGCCGTTCATCCGTGTACCATGAAACTTCGGGGAGATGATTAGATCACTCAATGGTATGGTTCTGCAAAAAATATTGTTTAATATTGCAAGGGCGGCGCCCCCTGGGGGGAGCGATTTTTTTTCTCTATACACGGTATATAAAAAATAAAACTCGGATGCGGTTCATGAAACTTTAGGGAATAGATGAGAATACTCCCGAGAATATTTCTGCGAAAAAGAAAACTAAAGTTTCTTACGGGCGGCGCCATATAGGGTACAACTTTCGTCAATACACGGTTTGGCGCCCAGAGTTTAGAGCGACTAAGTTGGCACTTGGCATCCGTTAATCGAGTATCCTGCATAGCGAGTAAGGGGTACTACTATATTCAGCAGTAAAACTACAACATGCTTCTAAAAATAACTTTGTAACTCGAGGAAATCCTTCTGCACAGTTTCGTCACCTTGCGAAAGATGAAAAAATAATTTTTTGAATATGAGTAGCCTACTGTAGAGTTTCGTCACTTTGCGAATGATGCAATAAGCATCTATTATTAGACAATCCAGTCAGAAATTGAGATCGAGCATCTAATAATAGACCATTAGTAACGCTAGGATATTGCATCAGTCACACTGATATTTAAAACACGTCAAATAATTTTTTTACGTGTTAAAGAAAAAAATCCTCTTTATTTGTGTCACTTTAGCGAATGACGAAATCTGCATAATTATTAACAGGATTAATGTACACTCAAGGTTTTCATGCGGTAGTGTAGGTAAACCCGTGTCCTGATATTTATGATCCAAGAACAGGCATTGTTTACATTTAAACAACTCATTTTTAGAAAAGAAGGTCACGCGTCTAAGAACATATAATTATAATTGATAACGCGTTGATAAAATCTTAATATATTTCGTCAAACTTTCTTCTATCCCCGCGGCAACGCGCGGGGGTCGGGTACGCTAGTATATATATATATATATATATATATATATATATATATATATATATATATATATATATATGACGTATCATATTTAAATACAAAGGCCTATATATAAAGAACTAGCCTTATTCTCCTGGAGCATTACCTGTGTCTAGAAGCACGATGGTCCGATCAAGGTAAATTTGTTCAGATCTGTAGACAATATTGCCCTCTGCCCACCTAGCTATACATTCACCTCTGAAGTTTATCTGAATACCTGTAACACATCATTACATCTTCAGTGCACTGGGTTGTTTCATTGATGTGTCAGTAATTAAAGTAAGCTTTTGAACAACAAATATTATAAGGGGCATGGGCGATCGCGGAAAGCTGAAGCTTGTCTATAATTCACAACGGTTGAATCAGTTGTTTATTCTGTGATTTTATTTGAAACGGGAGCCGGACGTTTTCCCGAAAGACACTTGTCCGAATGGACACTTGCCTGAATGGACACTTGCCCGAATTGACACTTGCCCGAATTGACACTTGCCCGAATGGACATTTGCCCGAATGGACACTTGCCCGAATGGACACTTGCCCGAATGGACACTTGCCCGAATGGACACTTACCCGAATGGATACTTGCCCGAATGGACACTTGCCCGAATGGAGACTTGCCCGAATGGACACTTGCCCGAATTGACACTTGCCCGAATGGACACTTGCCCGAATGGACACTTGCCCGAATGGACACTTGCCCGAATGGACACTTGCCCGAATGGACACTTGCCCGAATAAACACTTGCCCGAATGGACACTTGCCTGAATGGACACTTGCCCGAATAGCCACTTGCCCGAATGGACACTTGCCCGAATTGACACTTGCCCGAATGGACACTTGCCCGAATGGACACTTGCCCGAATGGACACTTGCCCGAATGGACACTTGCCCGAATGGACACTTGCCCGAATGGACACTTGCCCGAATGGACACTTGCCTAAATGGACACTTGCCTAAATGGACACTTGCCCGAATGGACACTTGACCGAATGACACTTGCCTGAATGGACACTTGCCTGAATGGACACTTGCCCAAATGGACACTTGCCTGAATGGACACTTGCCCGAATGGACACTTGACCGAATGGACACTTGACCGAATGACACTTGCCTAAATGGACACTTGCCCGAATGACACTTGCCCGAATGGACACTTGACCGAATGGACACTTGACCGAATGGACACTTGCCCGAATGGACACTTGCCCGAATTGACACTTGCCCGAATGGACACTTGCCCGAATGGACACTTGCCCGAATGGTCACTTGCCCGAATGGATACTTGCCCGAATGGACACTTGCCCGAATTGACACTTGCCCGAATGGACACTTGCCCGAATGGACACTTGCCCGAATGGACACTTGCCCGAATGGATACTTGCCCGAATGGACACTTGCCCGAATGGAGACTTGCCCGAATGGACACTTGCCCGAATGGACACTTGCCCGAATTGACACTTGCCCGAATGGACACTTGCCCGAATGGACACTTGCCCGAATGGACACTTGCCCGAATGGATACTTGCCCGAATGGACACTTGCCCGAATGGAGACTTGCCCGAATTGACACTTGCCCGAATTGACACTTGCCCGAATGGACACTTGCCCGAATGGACACTTGCCCGAATGGACACTTGCCCGAATGGACACTTGCCCGAATGGACACTTGCCTGAATGGACACTTGCCCGAATAGCCACTTGCCCGAATGGACACTTGCCCGAATGGACACTTGCCCGAATTGACACTTGCCCGAATGGACACTTGCCCGAATGGACACTTGCCCGAATGGACACTTGCCCGAATGGACACTTGCCCGAATGGACACTTGCCCGAATGGACACTTGCCCGAATGGACACTTGCCTAAATGGACACTTGCCTAAATGGACACTTGCCCGAATGGACACTTGACCGAATGACACTTGCCTGAATGGACACTTGCCTGAATGGACACTTGCCCAAATGGACACTTGCCTGAATGGACACTTGCCCGAATGGACACTTGACCGAATGGACACTTGACCGAATGACACTTGCCTAAATGGACACTTGCCCGAATGACACTTGCCCGAATGGACACTTGACCGAATGGACACTTGACCGAATGGACACTTGCCCGAATGGACACTTGCCCGAATTGACACTTGCCCGAATGGACACTTGCCCGAATGGACACTTGCCCGAATGGACACTTGCCCGAATGGATACTTGCCCGAATGGACACTTGCCCGAATGGAGACTTGCCCGAATGGACACTTGCCCGAATTGACACTTGCCCGAATGGACACTTGCCCGAATGGACACTTGCCCGAATGGACACTTGCCCGAATGGACACTTGCCCGAACGGACACTTGCCCGAATGGACACTTGCCCGAATGGACACTTGCCTGAATGGACACTTGCCCGAATGGCCACTTGCCCGAATGGACACTTGCCCGAATTGACACTTGCCCGAATGGACACTTGCCCGAATGGACACTTGCCCGAATGGACACTTGCCCGAATGGACACTTGCCCGAATGGACACTTGCCCGAATGGACACTTGCCCGAATGGACACTTGCCTAAATGGACACTTGCCTAAATGGACACTTGCCCGAATGGACACTTGACCGAATGACACTTGCCTGAATGGACACTTGCCTGAATGGACACTTGCCTGAATGGACACTTGCCCAAATGGACACTTGCCCGAATGGACACTTGACCGAATGGACACTTGACCGAATGACACTTGCCTAAATGGACACTTGCCCGAATGACACTTGCCCGAATGGACACTTGACCGAATGGACACTTGACCGAATGACACTTGCCTAAATGGACACTTGCCCGAATGGACACTTGCCTGAATGGACACTTGACCGAATGACACTTGCCCGAATGGACACTTGCCTAAATGGATACTTGCACGAATGGACACTTGCCCGAATGGACACTTGACCGAATGACACTTGCCTAAATGGACACTTGCCCGAATGACACTTGCCTGAATGGACACTTGCCCGAATGGACACTTGCCCGAATGGACACTTGCCCGAATGGACACTTGACCGAATGACACTTGCCTGAATGGACACTTGCCTGAATGGAAACTTGCCTGAATGGACACTTGACCGAATGACACTTGCCTGAATGGACACTTGCCTGAATGGACACTTGCCTAAATGGACACTTGCCTGAATGGACACTTGCCCGAATGGACACTTGCCCGAATGGACACTTGACCGAATGGACACTTGACCGAATGACACTTGCCTAAATGGACACTTGCCCGAATGGACACTTGCCTGAATGGACACTTGACCGAATGACACTTGCCCGAATGGACACTTGCCTAAATGGATACTTGCCCGAATGGACACTTGCCCGAATGGACACTTGCCTAAATGGATACTTGCCCGAATGGACACTTGCCCGAATGGACACTTGACCGAATGACACTTGCCTAAATGGACACTTGCCCGAATGGACACTTGACCGAATGACACTTGCCTGAATGGACACTTGCCCGAATGGACACTTGCCCGAATGGACACTTGACCGAATGACACTTGCCTGAATGGACACTTGCCTGAATGGAAACTTGCCTGAATGGACACTTGCCCGAATGGACACTTGCCCGAATGGACACTTGACCGAATGACACTTGCCTGAATGGACACTTGCCTGAATGGACACTTGCCTGAATGGACACTTGCCTGAATGGACACTTGCCTGAATGGACACTTGCCCGAATGGACACTTGCCTAAACGGATACTTGCCCGAATGGACACTTGCCCGAATGGACACTTGACCGAATGACACTTGCCTAAATGGACACTTGACCGAATGACACTTGCCCGAATGGACACTTGACCGAATGGACACTTGACCGAATGACACTTGCCTGAATGGACACTTGCCTGAATGGACACTTGACCGAATGACACTTGCCCGAATGACACTTGCCTGATAGACACTTGCCCGAATGCTACAATGCCCGAATAGACACATAGTAAAATTCATTTTTGAAATTTCTTTAATCTAACTGAAACAGTATTCGAATAATCGTGTGTACACACAAACACAGATAGACATACAGATATAAATTTCACTATTAATTTTTTGCTCTCAGTAAAATGTAAACGTCGAGGTTTTTGAAATCTCTATTTCGATCTTTTGCACGCTTACAATATTCCTTTAAGCGACGTATAAGAGAAAGTAAAAATAGTATCATGTTTAAAGCATTAAATTTTTTGTTGGTAGTCGTTGTATCTTAGATGTGCAAATATTGGATTTCAGTATTTGGTCTTTTCAAAGAAATACAGAACACAAGTTTTAAAAATGTAATTTATTCAAGAATTGAAGCCGATATACTGCAATATAGATACAAACACAATTTATATATATATATATATATATATATATATATATATATATATATATATATATATATATATATATATATATATATATATAAACACACACACACAAACAAACACACACGTATATATATATATATATATATATATATATATATATATATATATATATATATATATATATATATATATATATATATATATATATATATATATATATGTATGTTAGTGCGTGTGTTTGTATCTAATATTGAGGTGTAAAAAGCCCAGTCGAAGCTACCTTTTGTGTTGATTTTCTCATCCGTGTGCAGACACACTCGACCCCTCAGTACGCTCCCAGTGATGTACACACTTAGGTCAGGCTCAAAGATAATTTCATTGTGGGGTGCCATTTGGTTTCACCGTCTCTGTCACACTCGTTTTCTTAACACAATTCAGATAATTGCACAATAAAGCTTGCGGTAAGATCGTCTTCCAACTAGAACGTTATAGATTAGATAAAAAAACAACATGACAAATCGATGGATAGTTTTAATTTATATTTATAATAATGTTGGCTTCTGTTGTTAAAAAAAATCCCGCATTTTTTTTTACAATAAAATACAATAAAAAAGTCAAGTATTAATATCAATACTAACGAAAATAACTTTAATGCTACTCACAAAATATTTGAACTGAGAATACAAGTTGTCTAAACCGTACGAATTCCGCGCATGGATCTTTCTCTGCTGTGATCAGCACGAGACAACCCTTTATGCTAGTTTACGATCCGGGATATCTATGTACAGGTTCCTTGAATCATTTTCTATTTTTAAAACTTTCCGAAACTGATGTATCGATTCGTTCATACTCTGTACAATCAATATATATATATATATATATATATATATATATATATATATATATATATATATATATATATATATATATATACATTTCATTTGACGCCGTCACATTCTGTTGTAACAACATGCCTATCCTACCTTGTCCCACTCCCTAGAGAGCAGTTACATTGTACCTGGGTTTAACCCGGTTGTCAGTAAGTGTCTTCTTACTTTTAGATTGAACAAGCGCTTGAACCGGATCAAGATAAGCTGAGACCCCAGGACATAAAGGTACCCGCCAGCTGGTATCCTACCAACTATCTTTGTTTTTCCTTACCTAGTTTGTATACAGGGTGCGTTAGAATATAAAAATTATGTCTTTTTAACATTGGTTCCTGAATGTTTGTTTTTCCTGTAGGGTAGTGTTTAGATGCCAGACCTAACAGTGTTTTGTACATCAACATTTTACGCCAATCAAATGGTTTTAGACAATAACATTACTATTAATTTTGAGTTTTATAAATTATACAGCACAGTTTTAAGTTTAAGTTAATTGAGAATTATTTCACTATTTTTAGTGTGAATAGAAGCATGCTTTTAAAATATATGAATACAGTTATTTGATTTAATGCTTTTATCATATTTAAGAATAATAAAGTGAGTCGATATTTGCGTAGATATTTTGCTTTTGACTGAATATGATAGACTTTGCTACGACTATGATAAAATAAATTATATATATAAAAAAAATTGAAACAGAGCAAATAATAATAAATTATGACTTTATACTGCCAAACATTCAACGGTCTAAATAACGACCTTTGAAAACCAGTTCAGTAAAACTAAATAATCATACATTGACTAATGACTACATTGACATACAGCGAAATGAATCACGAGTATTTGATTTCAAAGTGTATTCCGAATTATGGTTATAAATATTCCTGAAGTAACGACACCAGGCTCATGTATGAAAGGCGTTAAATTTAATTAATAGAAACCTAATGAGATGACCAAATTACTCCACGCTATCAACGTGAGACCTACTGTGGTGGCCAAACTTCCCCACCCTATCAACGTGAGATCTACAGAGGTGGCCAAACTTCCCCACCCTATCAACGTGAGACCTATTGAGGTGGCCAAACTTCCCCACTCGATCAACGTGAGACCTACTGTGGTGGCCAAACTTCCCCACCCTATCAACGTGAGACCTACTGAGGTGGCCAAACTTCCCCACTCGATCAACGTGAGACCTACTGTGGTGGCCAAACTACCCCACGCTAACAACGTGAGACCTACTGTGGTGGCCAAACTTCCCCACCCTATCAACGTGAGATCTACAGAGGTGGCCAAACTTCCCCACCCTATCAACGTGAGACCTACTGAGGTGGCCAAACTTCCCCACCCTATCAACGTAAGACCTACTGTGGTACGCACTAAAAAATCTCCCCCCCCCCCATGTCTGAACTTGACTTAATCTAAACATTAAAATATTTGAAACCGAGTGTTACAATTTATAACCTCAGGTAAAACCCCAGTCAGGTAGATCAATTTATCCATCCGCCTTGTTTTCTAGAGCAGAAGAGTTACGTTTAACACGCACCAGAATTCATTTGTTTGCAACATGGTTCAGCATATATTGACATTCTTCATTGACATTTTACATCGACAGAATACATTGACAGCATATATTGACATTTTTCATTCACATTTTACATCGACAGAATACAATGACAATATAAATTGACAGTTTACATTGAAAAGATACATTTACATAATACATTGGCAGCTTAATTGGACAGCATTCATTGACAGCGTATATATAAAGCATACAATGACATTATACATTAACATTATATATTAACAGCATATTTGGACAGCATACACTGACAGCATATATTGAAAATACACATTGACAGCATACTTTGACAGTAATTATTTGACCACATGTTATTGAGAGTAATATTGAGTTCGAGCGTTAACAGTAATTGTAATTTTTTTTATAGCATACAAGGACAGCATATGTTAATGATATATGCCACTTGAATATGACTGCTTCTAGATACAAGGGTAAGCATTTTTGCGACCATGTACTACAATGAATATTAAGATGAGGTTCGTACATAGACTTTAAAATTTGTTTTTTTTTTAAAACGGAAAACGTCAGAGTCCCTTTAATCATGTTTCTAGTAGTCCATTGGGCTTACACTGAACCATGTCAATGTGTCAGATACATTTTGTCAGACAGCTATAGGTGTAACGAACAAGACATTGGCATGTTTGATGTAGTATTGTTTATAAACTGAGCTAGTTGATTATATCGGTGAATCAATAAAGATCTGCCCCGTACCTCGTGGTTGATTCAAACATCTCACTTTTCATATCATAAGCTTGGTGGTGTATGTAGTGTCTTCTGTTTCTTCTCCCCAAATCGTGGACATTAGATAAACTACGTCGTCAAGACTATCTCTATCGGAAGTACAGGAAGTCTATAGGACCGGTACACAATAGATAAACGGGTATAGAAAGTCTATAGGACCGGTACACAATAGATACACGACGTACAGAAAGTCTATAGGACCGGTATACAAAAGATAAACGATGTACAGAAAGTCGATATGACCGGTACACAATAGATAAACGGTGTACAGAAAGTCTATAGGACCGGTACACAAAAGATAAACGACGTACAGAAAGTCTATAGGACCGGTACACAATAGATAAACGACGTACAGAAAGTCTATAGGACCGGTACACAATAGATAAACGACGTAAAGAAAGTCTATAGGACCGGTACACAATAGATAAACGGGTAGAGAAAGTCTATAGGACCTGTACACAATAGATAAACGGGTAGAGAAAGTCTCTAGGACCTGTACACAATAGATAAACGGGTAGAGAAAGTCTATAAGACCGGTACACAATAGATAAACGGGTAGAGAAAGTCTCTAGGACCTGTACACAATAGATAAACGGGTAGAGAAAGTCTATAGGACCGGTACACAATAGATAAACGACGTACAGAAAGTCTATAGAACCGGTACACAATAGATAAACGACGTACAGAAAGTCTATAGGACCGGTACACAATAGATAAACGACGTACAGAAAGTCTATAGGACCGGTACACAATAGATAAACGACGTACAGAAAGTCTATAGGACCGGTACACAATAGATACACAAATCGGATTAACACGTCAAGACAATCTTCAGGAACGTGTGACAGAAACAAATCAAAGGGCAAGCACTGCGCCTTAACTATCTTAGTCACTTCCATGTTAGGCTAATATCCTGTTAAACTAATTTCTGATAGTGTTGTACTGTAAAAGATCATGAGACATATTTAGGAATAATTATAAAAACAGTAATAACACTTTCTTGTATTCTCAGTACAACACATTATGTATATTTACAATTGTTAATTAATCATGATAAACTAGAAATAATTTACAAAATGATTTAATTATTTAACAAACGTACACGAATGTAAAACAATAAACAGCGAATGTAATTTCAAGATGTCTGAAAGTTATTTTTAACATGAACTGATGTCTATGCTTCAACGTTAATACCAGCTATACAGCAAGGCAACGGAGGTAATATTATCATGTAGTTCAGCTTGTATTTTACAATAACTAATGTGGTGTAGTTAACGAAAAAAGCCAAACAAGCACACAAGTGCAACAATGTTTTCAGTAAAAATTTTGTATCAGTCATTGTATCAAAATGTTGATTTATTATCAGTCATCTTATCAAAGTGTTGATATACAAAATTGCGAACGTTAAAAAGAAATGTTTTTTTCCCATCAACGTATTTAAATTAATTTTTAATCAATATAAATGAAGTGCAACAAGACGTTTAATAATAGGAAAAACACAATTAAATTAAATTAAATTTAATGGGTTTGACTATAGTACTCAACGATACGATAAATTAACAACTAGCTATTTAGAGGGAGCAATTAAAATAATTATAATTGATCGCCTAGTTAGTTCACTGTTAAGGAAATTAACCGTTCCGTAAGAAAAACTATTTAACGGTTTTGCGGTTTTAATGACGATGATAACATGTTTTTACAGTGAACAATATGCATTAGATTCGTAACTTTTAAAAATATATTATTTATAAAAAAATCTAATTGAGGTTTAAATATATTTTTTTGTGACATTTCCTTAATTAATTAAGTAATTGAGAACCAGTTTAGCAAGTTAGCAATTACGTTAAGGAAAAAAAAACATATTACAGAAAAGATGCAATTTTAAATTTGATAATTAGAAATAAATTTTCCAAAAGTAACTACGAGATTAATTATCGTATTTCAAATTATGGGCTTTTAATGTTGCAATACCTGTTTATTCATTATATATAGACTGAAGGGAAAAATAAAAATAAACCTTTGAATATTATCAAATGCATATGCCCAATTCTGAGAATATAGCTCTGATACAGGCCGATTTAAGTTATAATGCTTGGAGTTTTCTGATATATTTAAGCCATTATGCTAGGAGTTTTCTGATACGCTTTGTTTTTTAAAACCTCAATGCCGGCGTAAAAAAATTACAAATCAATACGAGTTTTAAATTGATTTGATTTGCAGATTACTAAATAGTCTACTTAACTTCTGGTTAAAAAAAAATGTCGAAATATTTTTGTGCCTGTACAAAAGACAAACGCTTTTCTAGTCTATTAACTTTAATAAATAAACAATAGTAAGTAAAAAAAGTTTAAATAATATTTAGTAAATTGTTAGGCTTATGAAATTTTCTGGGTAAAAATTGATCAGTAAATTGTTTTAACATTTGATTCAAATTAAAGTGTTTTAATATTTAGAGTCTAGTATCTGTCTTAATTGGAAAATAATATAATTGAATAGCTTACAATAAACCGACCTACAGAAACTTTGAGAGAAATTAATAAAACAATACCATGAACTGCACACGGCGTGAAATCTGCGCTGTGACAAGGAGCTCCACCGACATAGCCAACCAATCCCCACCTCTCTACGACATTAGCATAGACGCCATGTTGGTGCTTAGCATCTTCTTCAATTATTTTTTCGTCGTTGTCGTCGGCATCCTGGGTATTATCGGAAACATCTTCAACATTGTGGTGCTAAATCGCCACGGCCTTAACGAGTCGACAAACATTATCCTGATATCCCTCTCAGTCTGTGATTTGTTCTGTTTGTTTTTAACCGTGTTGAGATCAGCTAAA